CTGCCCTGCTAATGTGGCTGTCACCCTCAGCTCCCAAATCACCTTCTCACTTCTGCTGCTCTCTGACAAAGTGATGCTCGAGATAATGGTTCAAAGTCTGCAGAGGATTTATGATTTCAAGTACATAAAGCATTCAGAAATTAGTATTTCTATTATTCTTGCATTTTCTGTTCTAAAACTGAAAAATGAGCATTACTGCATGTGCTGTGGGTAGCATATTTGACTTCCAAAACTCTTTATCAGTTTGATGCAAAGATTTGCACTGAATCCAGTTTTATCTGAATTAGGTCTACTAGGCAGAGACATGTTTTCCTCAAGACTGTCCTATATGTCAAAACTACTTAAGTTTAAAATCAATATTGCATTATTGTGCAGCTGTGACAATATGGCTAGTAGCTTATTTCCCAGCATTTTTACCTCTTGACTGCACATGAAATCCTTTTCAATCCAAAAACTCTTCTGTTGAAATTTAGGCTTGTTATTTTGTCAATATATTTAAGACATACCCAAGTCACACCGTCCAAAGATTGGCTGGCAAATGACCATGACACCCAAGGCTGCTAGTGTGTGGGAGTATGCTCCTCAGAGGAATGGCAAATCTGAGCAGTTTTGACAAACAGGAACCAAGCATTGAAATCCAGCTCTTGAAGAACACAATTCAACATCAGGAGATCAATTTTTTTTAGCATTTTCAAAACCTACTGTTAGTAATGTTAGACATTTTAAGACATTGTTGTGGTACTCTTCTGAATTGGAGCTGATATAAATGTCTACTCACACTTTGTGAATGTGTTTAAGCCTTTTTTGGGAAGTCGTGGATAGAACAGGTTAATAGACCTCTTGATTAAAAAATTATAAATATAAAGCCCAATCTTTTTTTATGTTATTACTAGTTTTACATGCACTTAATAAGAGGGTAACTCTAATGCAAACACCAATTACAAACTTTTTGGGTTCAGTGCTGGGAAATAGCTATTATCCTAGATGTAATATTTCTGAGGAGTGTCATTTCAGAACTGCAGTTTAAATATTTTAAGAGTAGAAATGAATAATAAACATCTGTGTCAAACAGTATATCTTTATACAAAGGTTTGAAAACACCTTGAACTGCTAGAGCAAAAAGAATGTACACTGCTTTTCCAAACCAACATCACAACGAAATTTGAAAGCAGAAAAAAAATATTATGTTTGACTGAAAGAATATAATAAACAACAAGGTCACCTAAACTGCTTGGGTGTATAAGCATGCCTATTAGATGCTCACAGGGATCAGAACAAAGCCCATTATTACTGAATGATTTTAATCCATAATCTCAAAGTAGGTATCAAATGACTAGTGGAGAAAACATGCAAATAAGGAACAGTGAAGCTTGATGTGGGCAATAAAATCATACACACCATGAAAAGATGAGATGTGAACAACAGTGGTGATTAAGAAGGCACATGGGAAAATGGTAGCTTTTCCATTATTTGGTGTCCTCCACTGAAGATTTCAAGTAAGTTAGCTTGCTCAAGATGAAGGCAAGTGCATAAAATTAAAGGAAACTCATGGAGATTTATAGGAAGTTAAATCTCTTCTGCACTTCATCAAAAACTGTCAGAACTAGTTGAAAACCATGAATTTAATTCACTAGTGATACTTCTAATTACTTTTTTTCTGATACAAGTAGCTTTAAACATCGATCTTGGCACCTTCTAAGCTAGATTTTCAAATGATATTTGGCTAATTTAGTCCTTCATACATTAATAGCAAAATCTAGATAGAGAAGAGAAAATGGGGGCCTGAATTCCTGAATACGAGTGCACACCATGATTCCACCATGGGGCGACCCAACTGTGTGATTCATAATCTCCTATTGCCCCCCCGCCCAAGTCCTTTTTTCCAGAGAAAAGAAATCTTTGGGAGTTGAGCACTGGTAGAGGCAACATGCTTCACAGGTTCCCAGTCTAGGCAACCAGGGGACCAGAGTTTTGTGTGCACCGCAATGCTCAGTGGTAGGTAAATCTAAAGAATGACTTCAGTGACAAAGTACTCACAAACTTTGCTGTGTACATACTGTCATGCTTATTCTTTTACTGAGTAGTAATGAGATAACAAGCTCTTATGCTGAAATCACTACTTTTCTCTGACAGTTTATCCTATATTAAAATATAATTTTTTGTTTTATTCAATACTGTAACATAGGTCTGGAGAACGGTTCATCCACCTCAAGTCTGCCTTGAAAACTGCCTTGCACTTTTCCATATCAAAAGACTTTCACTGATTAACTTGGAGGGCTACAATTTGAATTGTGCAAAGATCAATGGATCAGTGCTGGAATGGCCTTCACATTTGCCCTCCACGCACTACTTAAATGAAGAAAAGATTTATCCTTTTAAAAATGCATTTTTGAGCTCTTTTTATTGCCTTCTTTTCCCTTGAAAGTGTAGGTCTGGAGTAGGAGTGTAGCAATTTTCAAATATGTGAAATGTATTTTTCATATGATTGAAGGGCCAAAGATAACTTAGCATGATTTGGACACATGAAGAGATGAACTCGTCAATTCACCTATTCTTATTTGAATAAACTGTGAATAAATTCTATTTTACAACCTGATCATTTGCCTATATCATAATCAAGAGTCTAGGAAGCTGTATTGTGTATTGTCATATAAACTTGTAAATGCTATACCACTGTGGTTCAGATACTTCTGTCCCAGGGCAATAACTTCTGCTCAGTAATTCTTTTGCCAGTGGCTTTCCACTTTGAAGCATACAAGAATTTTCCTATGTCCATGTCAAGCTTTATTTCAGGCTCAGTTTAAAACATCACTTTTCCTGGCTTATCTCTTCTGTATTGACCCATATGGCAAAACTCACATGATGGAAAGCACCCTGCCAGGAGGATTTCCATTTGAGGCAACGTTGAACCTGGTGACAGACTCTGTGTACCCTGGAGTAGGGTAGGAACTTGGACATGCTTTATCATCAGAGGAAGATTACAAATTTAACCACATGTTCTGGAAGGATAATTGCTTCAGATTGCCATTTTGTATAATCTTCATAATCCACGGAGTTAATTTAAATGCTCCAAACATGCTAGTACTTGGGTATATGATGAAAACAAGCACATTTTTTTCTGGGATTTTGATACAAACCGAAGAAAACCAGACACTCAGTTCAGCTTTTAATTGGAAAATGGATGGCTGTCAGATTCCTTTGAAAAAGCCTTTTCTAAATGTGCCTTACTGGTGTTGTCATACTCAATTTTTTCCTGTAAGGAAAACAGATTGCTTGCTCCTCAATGGCAAATTACTGTACCGATGTACTCAGAACATCACTTAATGGTGGTATTAACCCAGTCAGCTGCACTGCATTATCAAAATTTTCATTTCTGCATAAATTTATTGGGTGACTGGGCTGTTGTAGTTTCAGAGTACCTGCCCACCTTATGTCTACTTACAATATTACATATGCTGCTCTTTAATTTTCATATATGTTTCCCTGGAGTTCACAGTATTCTGAAGAATCTGTAGTTAATATTCTAAGAGTGCAGTTTATATTAGCTGAGCAGAATGGCCTTGCATTGCTCCCACAAGCAGCTGGCATTTTCAACGAAAAATATACTTCTGCATATCCATGCACTGCTTCCCAGAGTACTGAGCACTGACTGTACAGACTTGTGAAGGTGTTGTACTAAGAGAGGGTTCCTATTTCAAGCATCAGAGTTAAAGTTGAAATGTACAAAAGAAAATCTGAAGCACACCATTCATGAATCAGGTTCTAGATGATTACAATGATTCCTCCTTAAAATTAAAGACAAATTTGTGAAAATTCCTGTTAAATATTATTTTTAAGTTATCAGTGATTTTGTTTCATGTCTCAGTTATATATACAACACTGAGACAAAAAATTGGAAGCCAGAAAGCACTATAGAATTAAAAATAATTCAAAAGTGGTAAAACAAAGCATCACAGATGAAATGTTTTATTTGCCACCTTCAAAACAAACAGTGGGTTTTTTTCAAAGTAAAACCAAATCTTGTTTCAAAGCTGAATTATGTCAAAACTGACTATACAATTCAGTCTTATTGAAGTGGCACTTTCCAACAGAGAACCATTTAACCAGAAAACCCTTCAGAGTCTCTGGCCTTGGGGCAGAGCTGGAGTGACCAGTCCAGTGATGCTGACCTGACTGGGCAGGACACCAGGATTGTTGCAGCTGTGGTATGTCAGGGAGGCAATCTACCCTCACTCCTCACTACAGCATGTTTGCAGAAGATCTGCTCAGTTTAGTATCAGCTGTGCCTTTAATGCAATACTCTCTTCCTTATTTTTGTGATCAGCTTCTCCTAACTTGATGGTCCCACAGTCCCTTAACACATAATGTGTTCAGGGAGCTGAGGCACCAGCTCTTTCTAAGGCTATTTTCCATGATAAACAAAATAGCAACATGTAAAAACTGCTAATAAATGGCACATCCCTCAGGAGAGAAGGTATTACCTCAGTATTATCCCATTTTCTGCTTATTCGAAGAGTGAGACTCTCAAGGTCAAACAAACCAAGGCCTCCCTTGAGGCAATGTTAATGCCAGACTGGCTGTGCATGCCAAGCTGCTGGCCCAAAGGTTATGCATTACAGGCTTTGACTGCCAATATTCTTATACTGCTGTTTTTCTTTCTATTTACCATTCTCCTGCACTGCATCACGTTTATGTCAGGCTTTTAAAAAGCCTCTTCTCCTCCTATTACCTGAAATTTGCAAAAGAGTAGCTACTGTTTGTACGTGAAGAGGCAGGCTATTATACAAATACTTACATATGCTATGCACAAAAAAGGATGGGTTGAAGGAACTATCTCAGGAGAATAAAGCACTTGAAGTCAAGCCTTAGGAAGAGCAGGACTACCTGCGCAGTTTTAATTTATCCCCCTGCCATCCTTATATAAAACCGAAGCGCTAAAGTGAGTTAAGTTATTGTATCACACGAGACTTGTAATTTATTCTCCTTTTTCTTTTTTTAAGCTCTGACTGAACCACATTTCTGATAACCTATTGCAAACAAATACTCCATGCTGCAATGTTCCTTCCAAGAAAGCATGTGATGATACACGGCTACGGAAACTGGTAAGCAAGAAAAAAATTTACTAAGAAATCAAGCCTGCATGCTTTGTATTGTAAAACAAAACTTCAACTGAAACATGGTCATAAAACGAATCTGTCATCCAGGCTACTGACAACAGCAAATTCAGGTTGGCAGTTCCATTCCAAACTTCTCTTTTCATTTTTAATATATTACACTCAAAAGGACCTGTGAATGTATTTGCATTAGGAAAGGCATCTACAGAGGTTTAAAAGCCATCTGTGTTCATAGGGAGAGAGAGAAGACTTGGGACTGGGATTTTCTTTCTACTCAGTCCTCCCTTCATCTAAGAACAGCACCAGATTGCTAAGAGCAAAGAAGGAAGGTGTGCTACATTACCTACTGCCTGCTGGGCCCTAATAGCAGGGAAGCTGGGAGAGGAAGGCAAGGAGAATTCCTCTAAGCACCTCACAACTGGCACATGAATTCTGCTGTTATGAAACGAGAAAGTGCAAAATTTTTGCAGTGCTGCCATAGGGGCTCCCTTAGGGGCTGTGCCACAGGAGATGGATCGGAGGGTGAACATCTCTTCTAGGGTGGAATGAAAATGACAGTTCAGTTTAAACACATGATGCTTTTTCCCCCCTACTGTAGACAATTAAGGCTTTCATTCCAGGTAAAAGAAAAGACTGAGTTTCAGAGAAAATGTTGGTGGGAGAAGGAACTGGATGAGCAGTCTTTCTTTGTGAGACAAAATTAAAATACTTTGCATGGTACTGTTCAACTGAAATGCCACCATCAAGCCTGTACCAGGTGTTTGAGAGGTTTTGCTCCTGAGGCTGGTACAAACACTTTGCATTGCTATATCACAGATGGGATTGTAAGTTAGAAAATCACTGACTCAGCATATTTGCATAAATATTCGCATTTCTGCAAAGTTCAACTCAGTTGGAAGTATATTTTTTATTCTCCCTCCATTCAAACATTGTATATTCTAGTCAGGGTCAGACCACATTAAAAATCATTTTCAGTCAGTGCCCAGTTGACTCAGAGAATTTCAGATCCAGAGTTTGAACAGCTGATTTTGCTCTAATTCTCTGAGCAAATGTTGCAGACTGAAAACGTCTGTGTTTGTGTCAGCGGTATTTACAATTCTGTACATGGAGAGAACCTGTTCCAACAGGGAAGTGACGACTGCTTTCAATGTTCAGAAAGATCTATTTCCTGGCTGTCTCGAAAATCCACAGCAAAATATGCTAAAGTTCTTCTGTTCTGAAACCTGAAAGTTAAGCACTGTGGAAGATTTAAAAAAAATGTTAGGATACACACAGTTCATTAACTATAGTTCATTATGATTTCATAAGGTGAATTTCAAAATGTGTAAATTAGAGTTGCTAAAGCAGATTTCTTCAAGTTCAGGGTTTTATCCCTTCTACTAATTTTGCAGGAAAAATCAGCTGCTTCTATAGTCATATTTTGTAGTGACATTTCAAATACTGTTTAATTAATACTCACAGCAGCCTTGGGAGTAAATGGAAGATACAATAAAACAATAGATTTAAAAACCTTTAATACAGAAAGTCACTATTTGCTCAGATCCTAATCTTCAAAAAATGAGGTAAGGTGACAAGACAGTACATCACATACTATCCAAGAAAGTGGACTGAAAAGCCAGTTCTGCAGAAACAGATCTGGCTCAAGCAGACAATTAAATATTGTCTTTCACAAAGGACATATGGATGGAAGGCTAACCATACAGCTGGGTGACAGTCACCAGTGTGGCCTTAGTACACGCCTGAGATATTCCAAAAAGGAGAAACTCCCTGCACAGTCCCTACATCTGCAACTTTCATCTGCAAACTGTTGCTAGAAGGAATTGTTTATTTGTATATAGTTTCTGGAAGGCTTAATTCTTACTTTAACCAAATGGATTTTCTTGAAAATATTAGCTGTGAGAAGAATCCATAAGGGGATTTATAGACAGCTGAAATACAGGTAATTCGCAAAATACCCACAATAATACACAGAGGTCTCTGACCTCCACAACATCTATGGCTATTTACTGTTATTCTAAAGTACTAAATTATTTCTTCAGAGTTTTAGGAGAAAAACAAGGTTTACATTATTTCCTAATGGCATCAGTACCAGAAAACAACCTCTAGCTGAATGTCTTAGGTACAGTGCCTTTGATAAAGGGCCATATTTTTCAGTAGGATGTGGGGAAAAAGCAACAAATGCTAATCCTTGGTGTAGGCTTATAGTCTTTGGGATTTGCTGCAGATGCTACCAATTAGAAATCACATATTCTGCTGGTAAAAAGGAGAATCAAAATAAAGGTTTTAGTTTGCTCCCTATGTGACAAAACCCTCCTGGGTTTGTTCTCTAAATTTTCAACAATCAATCTTTTTTTTTCTCATTGCTGGATATCAAGAGGGATACTCTGAAGTGATAGAATCCTTTGAAAAGTAAGAGTTAAGAAATCTCACCTCTGATGATAATGCTTGCCTGTGCATTAGCACTACCTGCCATCCCAGTCACTGTCCACTTACAGCTGATGGGAGAAATAGGACTTGCTTGGAGCCAATGGTCTCACTGTGACACCTGCCTAGTGCTCATGAGGTCAGGTCATGCTGCTGACACTCACCACCTCAGTGCCAGACTGTGTCAAGGCAGTTAGTTGTAAAGGGAGCAAACATTGTCTGAAGTGCTGAGATTCCTTTCACATCTTCACAGTGGAGCTTGTTCCCCTGAATCCCACTTAGTGGAGACAAGTGGCACTTCTAGCCAGCAGTTCATCTTAGTATGTCAAACACCTTTAACAAGCTGATAAGACTTGTGTCCTAGAAGACCATGTGTTACTCCAGATAAAAGAGATGATGCACAAAACTCAGTCTGCTGCAGACAGCACCTGCAAATATGCATCCCTTGTCACCTGTCCCTTCAGTCAAAAGTGTAAATTAGTCAAAAAAAATGGCAAAGGATGCACCCAACTTCAAAGGAGGTTGAAAGGACAATGTGGGGAATTGCAGGTCACTCAGCCTCATTTGAAAACTTCCTCCCTGAGTGAGGCTTGTTGTAGAGCATTTCTGAGCACAAGAAGCAGCTGGCTGGAAACAGGTGGCATAGATTTACTGAGGATAAACTCTGCCTGACCAACTTGATTGCCTTTGGTAATAAACTGGCTAGATTTTCCAAGAGCAGAGCAATACAGAGTGGTCCAAGGGGAGCACCACAGCAGTTTCCACTGGGATCTATATGCTTGACATCTTTGTCAGAGGCTGGAGGAGGTGACTGAATGCACTCTCATTGTACTTGCAGATGTTGCCAAACTGGAGGGAGTCTCAAAGAAGGGGCTGCCATCCAGAGGGACTGAGTCAGGCTGGATGAATGAGCCACAAGATTCAACAAGGAGGAATGCTGAGTCCTACCTGTAGGAAGGAAAAATACCTCCAACAACACAGGCTGAGGATTGACTAGGGGGGATGCTCTGTAGCAAAGGCTCTGGGGATCCTGTTGGGCAGCGAGCAGGACATGGGCCAGCAGTGACTCCTGACTGCAAAGGTGGCCAATGGCAACCTGGACACAGTGGAATATGATGAGGATGAGAGGTTGGAAAGGAAACAAGAAGGGCTTCTAAGGCTGCATCATGAGTAAAAGAAAGGTGAGAGGAAATGTGGCCCACCTCCAGAGAACAAGGAAAAGACTGAGATACTCAATAACTTCTTCACCTCAGACCTTACTGGTACAATACGTCATCAGGAAATCCTGAGAATCATGGGAATGACTGGACCAAGAACTACTAGCCTTTAGCAGAGAGGAATCCAGTTAGGGAACCCTTAACAAACTGAACATACATAAGTTCATGGGATCAATGTTATAGGAAGCACCCACAGGGTTGAGAGAGTTGGTCAGTGTAATTCAAGAGCACTCTTGATTATATCAGAGAAATTGTGGTGGTTGGGACAGGTTTCTGAGGACTGGAGGAAAGCAAATTACACTTTTGCCTTCAAGAAGGGTACGAAGGAGGTTTTGGGGAACTACAGACTGATTAAACTCATCTTAATCTCTGGGAAGGTGATGGAGCAAATCCTCCTGAAAACCACTTCCAGACACATGAAGGACAAGGTGGTGATAGGGAGTATTCAGCATGGATTTACAAAGAGGAAGTTGACCAATCTGATAGCCTTCTGCAATGAAAAGACAGGCTCTGTAGCTGGGGAGAGAGCAGTTGATGTCGTCTGTCTCAATTTCACCAAGACTTTCAACACTGTCTCACATAACACCCTCATAGACACACAGATGTCATACTAGACAAGTGGACTGTGAGGTGGACTGTGAAAACTGTCTGACAGATTTGTAGTCAGCAGCACAAAGTCCTCTGATTTAGATACAAAACCCCCTTGTGTTTCACACACATTCATGACCAGGTAGTAGGGTCTATGGACTGGAGTGTTTTTTCAAACTGTGAAAAAAAAAGAGTATTTAACTGTTATATCATCCTATAGGTGATTACCTAATAGCAAAAAAAAAAAAAAAAAAAAAGGCACTATTTCCCTGAAACAAACAGAAATTTTTACCTTAATAACAAATTGCATCTCATTCTGCGCCATGATGCTAGTTGGAATCAAATGCTGCTAAGAGAATGATGTTGGCAAAGGAGCAGTCAAAAAACTATGAAAAGGAGAGATAAATCACTGTTAAAGATAGTGAATGTTAGAAAGAAATCCTCTCCCCGTTTTCAGTTCTTTTTAACTGCACTGGAGTACTCTGGAGAAGGGATGAAAGTAAGATTTGTCTCAAGGTTAATTGACAGACAAAGTGAAGGAGAGCTTAACAAATGAAAAAGAATTTATAGTCTGGGTCTCTGAGCATGGTGTTGGGATCAAAATAATCTGCTTGTGGTGCTGGTTTAAACAGAGAAGCATGTCAGTGGCTGCAACACTATCCTGCCTAAGTAGGGAGCTCCATAGGGAAAATCCAAGCCTTTCTCCCTGCTTTCCCACACAACAAATCACAACTTATTCAATCTCTTATAATTTCACTTCCTCAGTGCTTTTCCAAGGCAGTGACTGGGGCTCCTCTCAGTAGCCAAGGGATGAGCTGGCCAGTATTGTGGAGCAGGAGACTGGGCACTAGCCCTGCATGTAGAGCCATCAACACACAAAGGGTTCATCTTTCCTTAATTTTCCCCTTGGAAACTTCATAGTAAGCCCATGTATTTCCTGTGCTGGTGTTCCTATCAGAAACTGCTAATGTATCAGAAAAAAACCCACCATTTCCACCCCTCTGCCCTCGTCCATTTTCTATCTTTGGCTCGATGCTTGGACTGTGTTTCTGGAGAGAGGTGGTCTTTTTCTTCTGTATGTGTATGGCACTTATTCAATATTCATTAGTTTAAGCAGCTTTTTTCATGAAAAGTTGCAGAAACTTTGTAACCTGGATGCTGCCCTTGGGTCTCTTGTTCACTTTTAGATTGCCTCTGAACTCAAGCAGCAGCCAGACTACATCCTCTGGCTTGTTTTGTAGGCATCATCTCGCTGTTGACAACCGTTCTTCTCCAGATGGCAAAATCCACATCCAAGTGCACAACTTTTCATATTGGGGATTTATTTTGGGGATTTCATTTCTTTTCTACAATTTTGAAATGCCGCACAGAGCTAACTAGCAGCCTGCCCCGTTTCAGATCTGGCAGAAAGTGCTGCAGAATTTCCATGCTGATTCAAGTGGCACAACCATTCATTTGTCATACTGCCAGTTGGAGAAGTTGTTTATAACTCAGCAAATTCAGTTGGTTTCCATCTTATACTATTTTCCATAAGATTTCACACCTGGTTTTAATTTCTTTTTAAAATTCTCTTATTGCAACATCTCATACTTTTTAAGTGACCTTTGCTTGCTCAAGGAAGAGCAATTATTTCTGAGAAACATGTAAATCTCTGGATTGCCTTGATCCTGCTTTTTGGCTTCAATTGCTGACACTCTCAAATTATTATTTTTTTTTAGTGCTTGTAAAAAGTTGTCAATAATGTTATAGAAATCAAAATTCATACTGTAAACAGAAACTGTTACCTTTTTGATGGTGCAGGTTGTAGCTAACAGATTCTAAATAATTATCAAGAAACAATTTTTTCCCAAGCTCTATCTTAACAGCACATATTAACCTCTGCAATTTCACCTAAAAATGCTGAAGTGACTTACTAAAAAATTCCTCCAGTTTAATCGGAAAGAAAACATCACCCCCTATCTAGTTTATACATTCTTAGATGGTTTTTATTCCAATAGATTTAGTTGTATGAGGATTGAACAGAGAAAAGCAATGAGTTTCAGAGATCTCTCTGTTCATTGAGTCTTGAAAATTGAAGTAGTTACATAATAATAGTTTAAAAATTAATGGAAAACCACTAAGTAAAATTTTTAGGAAATGTTATCTCCACAGCAACACTTGGCCATTGGGTTTCATAATGACTTACAATGGTTTTAGTTATTTAGACAAGCAGTTTTTCAGGAAATGTTAGAAATTATTAGTCTCCTATTTCTGTTATTAGCCTTCTATTTACTATTCTGCTTTCCTGCCATTTTTAGGTAGACTTCAGAAATAGGTTACAGAAATAAAGACAAAAAATACTACAATTTCTCTGTGGAAGACTCCTCAGTTGCAGACACCTCAGAGGAGCAGTGCAGGAGGTATTCCTGCAGCCTGCACAATATCTGTGCTGTGGACAGACTGCAAAATAAATACCCACTCCCTATACCAGCACTAGTGCTGCATCCATGTTTAGCTGGATATAAGTTGGCATTCTCACTGAATGTACTCTTTCCAAAGCAATTGTCATTGACATAAACGAAATTGCATTCTTGAAGTAATTCTCTGAGCTGTCACCAATGCAGCATTGTGCAAAGCAAAAGCCATAACATTGCTTCTTAAAATACCAATGGTGATATAGTAACCTTACATCCATTTCTCAAACAGGTTTTGAGGGGTTTTTTCATAATGGATAGTATGACATGATAAATTTTAATGTACTGCAAACCACTTACACGCTTTCATTTAGAATTAATTTTGAAATGACTGTTTTCCCAACTGGTTGCTGTTGTTAAGGCTTTTACACATTTAACATGCTCTTAATTGTTAATTGCACAGAAAAGAAGGCATCGCCCTATTTAGGTAAGTCACTATTAAATTTTTTTACCCAGGAGGCTGGATGGAGACTCCTGAAACCAAAGATATCAGCGTTCACCAAAAGCAGACAAGTGCTTCCAAGAAATGAGAGGGGCCTTTGCTCAAAACACACATTGCATGTTAATATGGTTAGAAACTGAGCTGCATGAAAATGGCAGAGTAACTTGGGAGGCTGATTGACAGCTGAGTGCCAAGTGAGAGTGTGTGATTTTAGGGTAAGGAGTGATAGATGGGGAATGGGAAATACTCAGAAGAAACTCCCAGATGTTGCTTGAACCCTGTGAAAATAAAACTTGGAGCATCAATTTGGAAAACTGATCAAGTTGTATGAAAGAAGTCCTTTTGTACTCATTCAGCCCCAAATACCAATAACTCAGGCCAAGTAATTAACCTTCCACCGTATCTGTGAGGAAAGCAGACAGCAAGTCACAGCCACTGTTCTCATGTTGGACACCACAGATTATAGCATTTAAAGCCCAACTGAGGCCCCCCAGTGCTGAGAACCAACAGACTCTATTTAATCATATGTGTCCTTCGCGAAAGACACTCGTGTTCAGCACTGCTGAACATAAGGGCATGTCACTTACATCTCAAGCACATGGTTAAAACCTTCCTCCTCTCTGAAGTTTGTGCCTCAGCTCCAAGAAAAAAAACCAAAATCCACTGCCAGAAAAGTACCCTGTAGTTCTGGCATACAATGACTAACAGTTAAAGCATGGGTTTAATCCCTCAGCTTCACTCGTAGCTGGTTGTTTCCCATAAGCCACAGAGCAGGCTGGGGGCACAGCAGTCACCGCCTACTCCTGGGCTCAGCAGGTACACGGACTTTCGTCCTGGTAAGGAGCGTCCCCAGCTCTTGAATTCAGGTGCCATTTGTGTTGCCCATGTGGAACGCAAGACACCAACTCATCCCACATTAACTGTGTGGCTTTAACATGAACCCTCTCCTCCACTAGTATTCCTTTTGTGACATGAGAAGATGTAAGTGATGAGGTAAGAGGCAGGGATATCTCACCATTGCTTTGTGATGAAATAAAAGCTGGGCTTTAAAAATGGGCCTTTTTGCCATAAGGAGACCTGCACAAGATAAATGAAGTAACGGTGAGTGGTTGTGATTGAGAATGTTCCACATAGAGGAATTGAAGGTCTCAGGAGGAAGATTGTCAGCTGAAAAGACTTATGTGTTCCTAGGGAGGTGAGGAGGAGACTGCTGTGCCCTAGAGAAGTGGGAGTGACCTCTGAGACCTGATTCTTTTGCAGAGTGAGATCATCTCAGCCTGCCCTTACTTCACATGCCCTGTCCTCTGCTACTCAATGTCCCCCTCCTGGGTACCAGCACTGGAGCCACGATGGGTAGGTCAGTTAAGGGAACTGAGCCAGATGAAAACTGAGTCCTCAAAAGCCCACAGACTTCTCTAGAGGAGGCCTATGCAACATATGCTTTCTGTTTGATTTAATTGTGTGTTGTGTATCTTTTAGGGGCAGCATCTCATTGCACTTATATTCTTTTGAATTACGACAAATACAACCTTTGCTTGATGAATTGCGTTAGTCAAAAGGGGACAGTAGGGCAAGCATATGAATCATGAATATGATGAAGGAGGCCTTTCTTTTACAGCACAAAGAGGCAAACTGGATGAACATTTATTGATTTAGCTTTATTTATTATTTTGCAATATACCAAGGTACAGGGCTTGCTCTAAATACCTAATACAGAAAACGTTTACTGAAAATTTCATCAGGGTTTTTGAACAAACAGTTTTCACTTAAAACACCCCCCACATCTGTTTCTTGCACTGATAGAAGTTTTATTTTAAAAAGTTTTAAGCATTCTTTTCAGAAAGTTTATCAAAGCTCTTTCCCTGACTGAGTGAAACAAAATGATAAACATATATATGAGCAGCAATGTTCTCATTTGCATTTAAATAAACATTATAAACACATCTTAAATAGTAGCGATTCTCAGAATTCGTATATGGCTTCTAGTTGTAAAAGCTGTGCTCCACTTAGTTTAAATAGTTATTTTCTATGCATCATTAGATTTGCAATAGACATCTTGTATTTCTACCCTCTAATCAAGGCCAGCCTTGAAAACATCAGGCAGGGTGCGGATTTTGAATGGGATCATTATTTCAAGAATACTGGGCCAAACTATAAGTTGGTTTTAATCTGCAAAGTTCTGTTATCTTTAGTGGAATTAAACTGATTTGGGCCTGCTAACAGTGTGGCTCACAGCATTTATTTATTTAAGACAGAAAATAAAACCTGTCAGGTTTACAG